TTTCTTGAATCATGTGATCCAATGATAATGACAACATATTATAGTCCTTTACTTTTCTTTGTCGATTAAATTCTGCAACAGTTATTTCTATTTCCCATAATACCCCAAGAGTTTACTGTGACTAAGAAATTTGGTAATCCCAAGGAATTTTCCATCACATATGTAACATGTGTAAAACTCTTGTTTAAAGTGTTCCGTCAGTTTTTCTATACGGGATGTACAAATACGGAGCCATGTTCCGTCGGAATGGGGACGTTAAATCCGAAGTTTCATGTATAAAGAGTGCCATACGCTCAGCATATTAAAAAAAAAACTATTGCAACAACTCTTTGAGGGGTACGAAGTGGCTTGTTGCAGAAATATTTCTGCCCATATCCACCATATCCTTATTTTCTATTGGCAGTCTAAATGTCCCTGTTCTGTTATTTAACTGATCAAGTTCAAGATCAAAATATTTCTTTGTAGAGGAATTTTACCGTCCAAGAAACATAAGTTTAGTCATATGATTCTTTATAGTTGACCAAAAAGATGAATATATACTTAAATGGTATACTATAAAACACGTTAACATAGATTTTCATTTAAGAGAAAATTCTTTTTGGGATAAAAATCTTCAGAAATATACCGGTATTGAATTTTGTCTTCCGTATTCTAAATCGCCGACAGTTTTTCTGTATGTAGTGACCTAAACCACGACATCTCTCGTTAGAAATTCGGCAATCACACAGAACAAGTGCAAAGGAGAAAAACCACGATAAATTTATATACTTAGAAGGACGATAGTATTAACCGATTCTAAAAGGATAAAAATACACCAATCATTTGACAACTTTCATGACAAAGTTAAATTAACAAATGGGAGAGCACAAAGAACAAACAAAACACAAATAAACCTCTATCATCCCTCTTTATGCACGTGCTCCATTATAGTGTGTTGATTGTTTTTCAAGGTAATGCTCGTTAGCACCAAAACCCGAAAATTAAAATGCAGCCAATGTTTTTTATCAATATCCACAAAATGTTATGTTTTTTTGGTCACTTAAACGTTAAGGATTCGTATTAAAAGTATAAAACGTGTACAGACTTGAGAAGAAAGAAACTTGATTATAGACACAATCAGTTTACATTAATGTAAACACATGTATCATGAAGTGCATAACAGATATCTTTGGGGTAACTAAATTGGTGCTTAAATAAACGACAGACATTATACTCTTACATTCTACCTTTTGAATCACAAGTATTTCCTTGATTGTAAACAACCCCTTAGTATATAAATATTCATAAATACAACAGACATTAAACTCTTACATTCTACTTTTTGAACTACAAGTATTTCCTTGATTTTAAACAACCCCTTTGTATATTATAGATATTTATAAATATAATAAGTGATCTAATTTTTATCACGTTAATTTGTGATTTAGTTCTGGTATTCGATCTGTGACGAGTGATTCAGATAGAAATGTGTCAACCCACATAAAACTTATAAGAAGATGCGGAATGATTGTAGTTCATTTTTTCCGTCATAAGGTCTTTCAATATAAAGACAAGTCAACATGTTAACAAATGCCTGTTTTATATTTGGTTCATCATTCCATTTTAATTAAGAAACACCTTTCTTGCAGAAACAACATCTGTCTCTAGAAGATGATCACCTGATAACATTCTTCATACTGTCCATGATTATGGATTTTGTTATTTCTGCTCGTAGAAGTCTGATTATATTGCTCTGTACGCATGGATGGTTGCTGCATTTTGTCTCATTTTGTTATTTCTCTGCTGGATTTTGATTTCTGTATTTCGAAATTAACACAATAATTTTGTTCAAATAAGTTGTTTCCATTTTGTTCATAAGGCGTATTCAAATTTGGCTTTCCCTTTTGGTCTCTTTCGGTTTTATCAGCTCTTCAACTTTTGCATAAAGTTTTAGATCTTACAATGTTTGGCCTCATGCATAACCAAAGAGACACAAATTGTCGAAATGCGCATCTAGTGCAGTAACATTGGTACCGTTAGTGTTATTAAAAGAACCACCGGACTTTTTGTGTTTCATTGCTTTTTATTATAATGTTTGAAAAAACATGAGGTGATTTATGTCGTTTATCTAGAATGTTCCACCGACTTAACTAAAAAAATTTAAATAAAGGCAACAGTAGTATAACGCAGTTTAATAGTCATAAATCGATTTAACTGAAACAAATCCGGATCACAAACCAAAACCGAGGGAAACACATCAACTATAAGAGGAAACAACGGAACAACATAAACACTGAACTGTAACAAAAACACAACATACATAGAAACGGACTATTTGAACTGCCATATTCCTGACTTGGTACAGGACATTTTAAGAAAAAATGGTGGGTTGAACCTGGTTGTATGGCTAGCCAAACCTCCCGCTTATATGGCAATGTTAAAAATATCACTAAAATGACAATATTACGAGATAGGAATACATTACAACTAAAAGCAAGAAAACTCAGGATAGAGACATACATAAATGAATAATATAATAGTACATTACAACTTGTAAACCAGAGAATAACAACGGACACCTCCTAATAGAATTATGAACTGTGCATCACACGAATGAATGAATTTAAAGAGAGGCGGGAGATACCAAAGGGCCAATCAATTCATGAATATATGACAAACTGACAACGTCATGGAAAAAAGCAAAAACGACTAAAACAGAAACATTATACAAAACAAAACATAGAAAATTAACGACTGAGTGACACCAAATCCCCTCAAAACAGTGCTTCGGAAGGGTGAACAGATCCTTCGTGTTGCTCATGTAAGTATAAACTCAGTGATAAGTTCTATTCGATGATATCACATTCATAAAAAAGAGGACAAGGTTGTGATGACGACAATTTGAACATATCCATCGTAATTGTCATCCGAGAAACAGTTTAACTGATGATGGCGTCCGTAAAATTTTCGAAGGATGACTTCAACTTTACCACTTAGAACCATTGGTTTAAAAGATTTTAGCTTGTAAGCAGCAACTCTCTGTCAAGGAAATCATGATAGGAAATGCAAACAGTTCCAAACCAGTATATATTATAGCTTAAACGTTCCATATGCTACTATCAAACAGTATATTTAAACAGTAGCTTTGAAATAACGAAGATTTGAATGTGTCCCATCATTATATATTTACATAGCGGAAAAAAAATTAAAAGCCCTCGGTGTTTAGATTTTTCTTATACTCTCGAACTTATTTGACCATATATCTTTTTGATGTTACGGTATTGAGTTCCATGTAATTGTTTATTTGTCTTTATTTCCTTTCTCCGCTGACCCTATGATTCCAGAAATTGCACATCTTGATCATACACTGCAAAACGATGTGTTGATTTGAACGGACAATAAACATTCAATCAACATACCCAAATAAAAACATTTTCAATTAACCTTGTTTTAGGAGTGTGAAGTTAAGTGGACTTATCATCATGATCATAGTAGAAACAAACATATTATTCGAAAAGGAAGGTAAAGGAAGTTCATTTGTTTATCAGTACTACAAACCATGTACTCAACTTATCAATGACTGTACCATATAGTACCCTTTATTGTGTAGCAGCATAATAGTATTTTGACCTAAAAAGGAAGTTTAAAAGGACTTAAATGAACTATTCATTGATATTGAATAAAAACATTTTTGTTTTAATTTAATCAAGCGTAACACATATTTACTATAATTCTATATTGTATGATAGTCTATGCAACTGCTGGTTGAAGTTTTCTTCCCAGAGGGTATCACCATCCAAGTGGTCAGCACTTCTGTGTTGACATGAATTATAATTGATGTGGTCATTTTTATAAATTAAATTGTTTGCCAAACTTCATACCAAGTCGTTCTAACTCAGGAATAGATTATCTTGTTATCGCTGTATTTGGAAAAAAAACCTTTCGGAATTTTGTGTTCTAAATGCTCTTCAACTGTACTTTATTTGACATTTTAATAACTTTTTTAAATTGAGCGTAGACGAATGCGCGTCTGGCGTAAAAATGATAAGCCTGGTTTAATCTGATTTTATTCATTAACTTTGGAACGTTATAGGTACGGAGTAGATCTATAGGAATGGGCGATAGATTTTTTGTTGTCGATTATTAAAATCTAAAAAGCTAACAATATAGTGTTTGTTGACAGTTCTGACTTTTTGACTCTCTACGCTACACATCCTCACAATATTTTCTTGAAATTGATCCCTTAAGAATCAGATTGCACATTCAATTGCTAACACTCACACAGAGCCAGTTTCTGTAAAAACAGATATCCTTATTGAAACTCTGATAAGATGATTAAAGCTGTTAATGTGCCCCTCGACAACATCTATTAAAATTGAAAACGGAAAAAGGGAAACATCTAAGTACGTTTCGGCAAGACAGTTTATGACAGGTATAGATATTCCTGTTGGCACCAATAACAACCTTTGATACAAGACCTGTTTCTGTTCTTGTAATGTTCACAGTGTATGGCCAAATTAGTAAAGATTCGTCTAAATTCTATTTAATTGATGTATTGTAAATACTAATCATTTACTTGAGGATATTTGTGCTCTACGTTTATTGCGAAATTCCCTAGTGAAACTTAATTATATGAATCTAATATTAAAAGTCAAAATAGATGGTTAGTTTTATTTCAAACAAAAAAAAGCGATTTTTCGTTCCCTATCATTAATTTCCTGTTTTGGACGCTGATGTGACTTTTTGGCAGCATCTTACAGTGTGTTTATTCCCAAATCGTTTGCTACACCCATGTAAGCTCCATCTATGTATAGCTGTCAGATCACACGATCGGTAAAACACCTCGTTGATGTCACAATCGAGAGAGAGAGAGAGAGAGAGAGAGAGAGAGAGAGAGAGAGAGAGATTGTTATTCCGATGAGAGTAATATTTCCGTAGTAATCTTTGACACAAATATTCTGTTATGGTTAACCAAACGGGGAAGACGTTATACAATGTTATATGAACAAGAAAAATATTCATTATGTAATATATTTTAAATGCCCGTAATCAATTTAAACAGTTAGTTTAACTCAAAATGGCCTTTACTGTTCCTTTAATAAAGGCACGACATATAGGACATCTTCGAAGAGCAGGAGCACAGTTCACACAAGATGCAAGATGTCCACATGGAAGAAAAACGATAGCGATTGGTTCGTCCAGGCATATTTTACATGTCTGCTGATCTCTTAAATTCTGATTTTCTTCTTCCAAACTTCTGACAGACACTGCAAAATAATAGCGTCAATAAATAAACGACAACAACACTGTTACATCTAACCTAAATAATCTAAGTATTGTGAGACTATAGATGATCAATAGTACATGTATTGATTAAATTACAATATCAAGAGAAAAAAAAAAGAAAAAAGGAGTATTTAGTGAATTTGGTTAATAGTCAGATATTACAATAAAAACCGAACGTGGGAAAGTATTGAAACGATTCTTATATTTTCAAGTTAATACACTTCACCTTGAAGTTGCTTCTGATAACGATCACTTGTGAAAATTAATGTGATATGCCAGTACTTTGAATTTGAACTGTGGGAAAAGAATTAAGGAAAAAAAAATGTGTTAAAACTCTTTTGCATTAGGGACGAAACGCTTTTTCTTGTAAAGCGTCACTACTGACAAAAAGAGAAAAAGAGAGACAATGTACAGCTGTTAATCCTATATGTAATGCAATCACAGAAAGGCGGTTAAGTTGTAGACATGACCAATTATATATTTGTGTTAAAAATGCTGACTCAAAATTATTTTCGCTCACAACTTTAAGGATAAAACGTGGCTTTTATTCCATCCCTATGTTTAAACGTGATTAATAAGTATATTTACATTCAAGTTCAGGGTCTACTGTGATTTCTTGCTTGTTTTTTTCCACAGAAGTTTCTTTCAATGAGTTTTGTTGCTGTCCTGAAGGTTTGTCAATCTTAGAACTTTCCTCTAACTGGAATATTTTTTCAAGTAATAATGTGCCAGTGATATCTACAAAGAAATTAATAGGCGTCAAGCTGATTCCATAACAATATATATTTTTGTAGGACAAAAAGCAGGATAAAATAAACGAAGGTAGTTTTCATATATGTAATGTATTTTAATATCTGTGTTAATGTTCATCCTGAAAGACACTTATGCCTCAGTATATTTATTTTCTATATTTTGTGATGGTAAAGTTAATACAGAGTCAAACAATTCATTTAAGCAGTTAATATGCGGGGAGACACACTATCATATCCATCTGGCTGTCCGCCACTCCACTATAAAATCTCACTTTCTGTATGATAATATTGTATGTACAGTTCTTTTCGAGATTATATCTTCTCGTAATGATTTGTCAAAGCAAAAAACGAAACAATTTAAATTGAACTTTCCATAAATCATGTAATTTTGCATTATTACTCTCCATTTTAACTGTAGCAGAAGTTAATGAAGAGACAGTTTATGTTGTCTGTGAACACAACCTTTAACTTAATAAACTTCTTTGATTTATGTTTAGTGTTAAAACAAGACAAACCCCTCTTATATGGTAGTGCCATACCTGTCGTTCCTGCTCTCTGGATGGAATCATAAGCTCTCTTTATTAAACTTTCATCATATCCGAATTCTGAAACAGACAGAACAGCAGGATGACTCCCAAAATCTTTATTCTTCAATGTTTTTCTATTTTCGTTTTGTAAACTAGTTTGTCCACTGCTTTCTTTCTGAAAAATAAATGAACATAGAATAATGAATTTTTGTGTCTAGTTTATATATTAAATCCTCAACAAAATTGAGTGTTACGTAAAATATCTACTTGGTGCTTTGCTGTAATGAATCGTTTCTTTGATTATACTGTCTGTAACAGTATATCATGTCTGTTGATTCTATTACCAAAGTTGACAACGTTTGAAGCTTCCATAGACAGTGACGTTCGTTATTCTTATTTTTCGTTATTAAGTTGGTTTAATTTGGGAAGTGTCAGGAAGAGAAAATGATTTTTTTAAATATGACTATATTCAAAACAAAATTTCCAGTTATGTAGTATTGTTTGTTTTTTATTTCCTTGACTTGCTTTGTCGGTAGGTGGTGGTAAGAATAGTTTTATTGTTGATTTTGTAGCACTTTCTTGGTATTTATTTAGTGTAATGGTACTGATGATTAACTGGGAAAATATTTTTTTCAATTATACTATACAAAAGGGTCTAGTGCCACAAGGAGGTATTTCCATCTTTATTAAAGAGAGGCAAAAGATATCAAAGGGACATTCAAACTCATTAGTTGAAAATAAAATGAAAACGCCATGGCTATAAAGAAAAAAAAGACAATAGGACAAACAACAGTATACAAACACAACATTGAAGACTTTGGACTGAGAAACACGTATCCCATCAAAAATAGAAAAATTGGTTAACTAAGTGTTATTAATGTTTGGCATGCTACCTCATAATTTTTGTCTCTTTTAGCCATACCTTGTCCTGTTTTGTTGTCGGTATGAATCTGTTCATTTGTACGTCTTCTACAAATGTATCCCCTTTACAATTTTGCACAAAAGCACAGTTCTGGTACCAGCGAGCATGTTCTATCCAAGGATGATCCCCTGGTTCCCAGCTTCTTAGTCCTCCTCCACAGAAAAAGCACCGACAGTGGTCGTCTATGCCTTAAAAAATATCATAAATATATTATGTGCCTGTTTTAGAGCATTCAGTGATTTCTGTTTCTTGTAAGTAAAAGTTGGTCTTTTTAAAATATAATATTTGTTAACAATATTTCTATAGTTAAACTGGTATTTACACGTGTATTAGAGTATTTTATATCATTCAACATGCATTGTAAATGTGAAGGTATAATGGACATAATCGAACTGCCTATAATAACCGAAGAAATTTCAATATATGTTACATTAATTCACCAGTTAAATAAATTTAAAATAAACATGTCCAAATCAAGTTTATGATAAATAATTATTCAATATGCAATGTCTAGGCAAAAACAATTTTGTTTGATTTATGTGGGTATTATCATACTGAGATCTTTCCTTTTTCATTCTTTAAAAAGAAGATGCTGCAACAGAGAAAATGACCTATGTTCATATTCTTCTTTACAAAATCTACGCATGTTTATTTGTCAGTGCTTGTTTTGTTTTCTAAAGAGTTTGTACATGTATGTTGTTTGCTAAAAAGTGCTAAAAAATATATTTGTTACTTTTCTTACATTTGCTAACAGAACTTTACCTACTATGGTTATATCGTGATACAATTTTTTTTTGTGTGTTTTAAGGATGTATTGTTCTGACGTTTCAGTCTCGTCGAAATCTCGTTCTGGAATTATTTCCAAAACATGTGATACAAGTGAAAAATAGCAATGAATTTAATAAATATCATAATCAAACTTAACTCTGTGAAAAAATTGTGTATTTACAATAAGTACTTTTTGAGTAGAGTAATAAATTTTTCAAATTTTATTACCAATCAAGTCAGTCTTTTTAGCCAAAATTTTGAGAAAAAGGGTGAGGGGTACAAGAAATGATTTTATCAGAAACATGTATATTCGATATCACTTTTTTCTTTTCAAATTTCTTAGATATGTATTTTTTCAATCATTTATAACAAAGTTGAAATAATGTGCATTTTGTTCTTAAAACAGATAAAAATCACAAATTTACAAAATTGACAGCATGGGAAATTTGACACGAAAAAGCATCAAAATATGATAAACCTTTCTTATATTAACACCTACATTTTTACCAATAGTTTTTTTAAATTAAATTTATTCAGATTGGTCCAATTCATCTTTATTGAAAGTATGAAAAAAAGTTTAATTGTGGAACTGTGATTTTTTTCACGATAATAACCCAAAACTGGGTAAAAATTGATGAAAAATGGGAAAATCATCAAAATTGGGTACTTTCAAAGGGCCGTAGCAAAAAAAGAAGTGGACCACCATATGATTTTTTCTTCACCAATTATTTTTTAACAATCTTATAAACCCAAAAATCGGGTTAAGTAAAAAAGTTTAATTCTAGAAATTTTTGGCTCCTCAGAGGTGTACATCCTTTAATTGATAACGATGGAAGTGAGTTTCTTTACCTGTGAAAAAGAATCCTGCTAAAGACATTTCCTCAGGAGACTGCGTTAGATGTTTTGGCCAATATATGAAAGAATCTAGCCTGATTGATCTTACGGCGTACTTTGGATATTTAGGTTTATCTAAACATATTCCTAGGGTTGGGGTCTCTTTTGTTAAACTATTTTCAGTATGTAATGTAGTTCTTGACGCTGCCTCTTGTGTAACGATCCCAGATATACTCGACATGTCACCATTGCTTTGATTTATTTTTATCAAGTTTGGAGAATTGTCATTAGCAGAAGCAGATTCTTTATGGACACTGCTTCCGACAGCAGCACTGTCAAAATCAATTGAAGAACAACTATCTATATTTCGTGGGACTTTATTGTCGACTGTTCTATCATCTCCCAAAACAGTGGTCTGGTACCAGGTTTTGTAGCTTTTACTTGCACCCTTATTATCTGCTTCAATAACATTACTTCCACACGCACCTTGATTTTCCTTTTCTTTATCATTTTTATCTAACAAAAATGAACAATGAGGAGAAATTCGTTTATGAATATCAACTGCTGAATCATTACATTTCCAATTTTTGTATATAGCACCACAACTGTGACACATAACTTCATCTCCTGTTCCGGTATAATAAAATCCCGCTGCTGCCAACCTTGTAACATAAATTCCTGGAATATCTGGAAACGTTGAAAAAGATGCAAATCGAGCTCCTTCGAATTTCATAGTTTCCGAAATTTGTAATTTCCTTTCGTTTTGATAAAATGAACTGAAGTCTTGAGGAAAGAAAGGATAAGTATAATACACATTATGAGGAAAAGAGCGCAAAGGTTTTACAATATTATCAAATATCCATTTTGTTTTTGAATGTTTCGTCTGCCGTGAAAACATTTTATCATCTGCTTTCCATTTCACCTTTATGCTAGCTATATTTCGCATCATATGCTTTTTGTAATTAACTTCAATTATACGAGTATACGAAAACAAACTAAGTAAGAATATAAAAAGACAAGATAAAGAATTATTATTCCTGTTGTTTGTATTGGTTTCAATATCAATACATTGTTTTTCTATCCTTGGACGTCCGGTTTGATTTTTATGTTCATCATCTTCATTTTGTTCCTGTTTTTCAATTTTCTTTTTGCTAGATATCTCATCATCGGTGTATGGTACGGCCATGTCGATACTGTAACATAAAATTTTAAAATTATCTAAACGTAACTCTTAAACTATGTATGTATGCTTGCTAGTTTCAACGGACGAGTTTCGATACTTATGTTTACAGTTCATTCGGGTTTATATTGTTTTGGATTAAAAACCATACATAGATAAAGTCAATATACTCAGTTCGAAAATATATGAAAAGAAAACAGTTTGAAATTACAAGGACGTAACAGACACATTGTTAAACGAAGTAAATTTGCACGAAAAAAAGTAACTGCAAACTGGTTCATAAGATCAAGAGAAATGAAGAGGATATACGTTACTCAATCCAAAGTTGAAAAATACGGGTAATCATTGAAACTTATCGACTTCATAATTTTATCCATTACAAAGGTGTCATACAGCACATGCGTTTGACATTTACTTCCGTCATCGAACTTGACGAAATTAAAGAAGCTATTATGGGGTTAAAAATTCATATGTCTGTATAGGTGGGTGATTGAACATACGACCCACTAACAGAAACAAAAAGGTTTACTTTAGTATATTTTTTAGTTGAACAGATGAACGATATATAAATGTTCGATCTTTCCTGCCTTCTGAAAAATAAGAATAGAGGGACAAAATATTATGAACTATTCATATTGTAATATCATATATAAGAGCATAAACACATTAAACAAGTGATAAAAATGAAAGAATATTTACTAAAAATAAATACCATATATTTTACTGATGGATATTACTAGTGGTTTGATAATCAAAGATCGTGAAAATAAAAAGCATATATTAGATAGATTAAGGAATTCGTTGAAAACTACTCATAAACAACAGAATATGTCCATTATTTGATAATGAAAGAACTAACATACCAGATCTCTCTTTGTGATTAACGTCGAGATCCACGTGGAAGGAATTATATATACAAGTGTAAGTCTATTTTTAGAAAAAGGTACTTTCCAAATCTGTATAATATAACCTTTGTATTTTGTATCATTATAACACAAACAGTCTTGTTTCAACTAGATCATCTAGATCCTTGCTGATATATTTCTAATAAGCGATAACACAAAATCTTGCTAAAACTAAATCTTGCTAGTATGCATTTATTTACTAAATGAAAGCCAAACATATTTTATCAAATAAAATTGTGTAAATGCAGTAGTACATTCTGTAGGGTCAATTTAATTTTGACGAGCACTACAAAACAGGAAGTGAATTAAATAGACTTTTGTTTATAAATAACTCAATGAATGAGAGTCTATTGAATATATTTTAAGTCAATCGACATCCTACCACCATCACGGGTGAAACTTTAGTTATATCTAAACATAATCTGAATTGTTGTTTATGGAATCATATTGTTTGGAATTTATACATGTTATATGGATAAATGTGTTGAATTCAGAACAATTTTTAAGTTTGAGTACAGATATGTTTTAAATACGTGACCTAATAAGAATATTTGGCTCTTATATGTACTCAATATATATTTATGCTTTTATACACATATACTAATGGTTCAGGTCTGACTGAGGCTTAAGATTATAAAATAAAATGGTTTCATATTTGAGTATGTTTGCAAATTAATTCGTGTCTCTAATATAGAAACGTTATTGTAATAAATTACTACGCTCGTAATGGACCCTTTCATTAGAATGAGACTATTTTATCTTTTCTTATTGTTGTTGCCTGTTATATATTTCTCACATGACGAAATATTTCTCTATCACGCTGAACAGAGTGTGGTAGGAAAATGTGATACGAAAAATGCGTTAATTTGACTAGATAATCCAACATCATGAAAAGATATGACTTTACATTGGCTATTCGTTGGTAGAAACGATGTACATTCCTTCCATGGCAACGGATATACCTGATTTCTTCAATAATATACATAACACTCACAATTTTAAACTTAAAACTTTCTTTTGTCACATTTTCTTTCATATGATGCGTACACAAAATTTTGAAATGTCTGAGGTTAAAGTTTGACGCCGGAAGAGGACATTCGACGTCATACTGGTAAGTGCAACAGTTTAGATAAACGAATAGCAGACTTTTCTTTATACAAAAGCTTTCTCTTATAAAATATCATTATTAATCAAAACTGAATTGTACACCTTCAAAAAGTTTTCAGTGATTACTAGCCTGTTAATACTGAGTATGCAAGATCAAACAATACTTGTGACAAGGTGTGTTCAATTCAGAAAATGATTTACAAGGATCGTCAGTTTGCGTGGCGAATGTCAGTGGTTATCCCTAGGAACTCCGTCTTCCTCCATCATTACATTATAACCGCAATGTTGAATTAAACATACTGACGCTATAATATATTTAATGTCGTTGAATGTGACGTTAAACATCAAAAAACAAATAAACCTCAAATAGTATAGTCATTTGTAGTGAAGTGGAATATTTGAAATACAAAATATAAAAGACAGATGGAAGCGACAATGAAAATAGAATATATGATGACAACATAATTCAACATATTATTACATTACATATTCAACATGTATTTAAACAACTGGAGAAACATTCTTATATTCAATAGTAGGGAGATATTAAATTCAGCGTCATATGATATGATAACACACAAAGCAACTGTGGTTGATTCTAATTTCAATCGTATTAAAAAAGTTTGACAAAAATACCGAACTCCAAGGGAAATTCAAAACGTGGAAGTCCACAAAAAATGACAAAATCGAACGTTGGACTTTAGCAACCAATGGAACTAAAAGTATGTAAAAATAATAATATTGAAGTTTAGAGCTACTCATTTAAACTACTAATATTGTTTGATTAGTTGATGAATTAAAAAAAAATACATTTATATAATTATATCGAAATAATGAACTTAAATGTAGAGTCGTGTCTTACCTGATATAGCCTCTTTATCAAATATGCCGGCTCTACACGATCCATGACTTATATGTTCAGAATGTTATATTTAAAGAACGGTGTTTTCCAATGAAGTACAATTAGTTATTGCTATGATTTTAGTACATTTTTGTCATATATGTTTGAACTATCAAAGAAAGACAATCTCAAATAAAATGTATTCTTATAGTATGAGCGTGGGATAAAATTTGTAAGGGCTATACCACAGTTCCCTTAAACATAATTTTTGACAATGCCAATCCACTGAATTAAACAGAATGATGAATTTTAAAGAAATAAAGTTTACAATATATCCGCGTATCATTTATTTATAATTAATGCTTTGATAGAGCCACTAATTTAGAAAAAGTTTGGTTGAATATTTAAAGACATTATCTAATAAAATCTACCATTTTCGCCTTATCCAATTTACCACTTACACTAATTTTGATATTGTTACAATTGAAAAGTATGCAATAAGATTGGATTAAGTTAGGATTGCCTCACTTTTACCTGATTTCCTGCAGAATATTTTCTTACGTGTTTTATGTCAATTCAATATGAGGTCCCAGTGTAACAATTATTGTTTATAAAACTACTTTTTCTTGTATATGATTTGCTTTTCTGTCTATCTTCTAAAAACTATATATAAGTTATGACAGAAACACTGTTCGTATACTGAACATGTGATGATTCAACTTTGTATCTTCAAACTATAAATACATCCGGTATATGAAGAACCTGTAGTCTGAAATCAGCTTATATTGCCTTTTATATACAGACGTGTAAAATAATTACAAAAAAAGTAATTACAAAATACCGAGCTCAAAGGTAAATTCAAAAAGGGGAAACCATTAAAAACTGACAAAACCAGACTATATCAATCAACGGAAGGCCTCATATTCCAGTCTTAGTGTGGGCACTTTCCTAAGAAAATGGTGGAAATTGACCTTCAAACTGAACACTGGACTGCTTCATTTATTTTATATATGAAACGTTAGATTTGCAAGTTTTACTTTTTCAAAACCATTTTCTAATACATGGCATAGTTACATATCTAAAGTCCCTTTTTTTTTAGAAATTTGAGTAGCTTTTTAACTAGTTTTCGAAAGAAATTTGTTATCATTTTGAAGAGAAACATCGAATTGTACTTTCCGCACGTCTGCGCAAAGTAAAACGCTTGTGTGTCGTAAGAGAAAATATATTTTTCAGTTTCATTATGCTATTATCATTCCAATTTAACCCAAACGAAAGCAGTGAAAAAATGAAGTCAAATAAAAAACGATTCAAAATATTATCGAACAAAAAGAGTACAGAACAAGCGTAATTTATTGTCCCCTTTTTATTTGATTTAAAAAAAAAAGTTGAAGCCTATCCCGCATGTGAAATGATCTGTAGTTACAGGTCGACAATGTAGGACCCTTATTGTGTTGTATTATGTGCACATGTTTGTGCAAACTGAGGAAAAGTGCCAAAATTCTACAATGTGGTAATGTTTGAAGTAATTCTACATCAGCACCAACGTAGACCATTCTGAAATTTTGAATCGTCTAATTTACTCTTAAATAATTTCATTATATAAAATATCCTAATGGTCTACCTTGGTACTCATTTTTTAAATTGGAAAAAAAATATCCACTGTCTGACAAATCTATGCAATGACTGTTGCTAAGCAACATTTGTGGTGTTACATCTGTAGGTTCAATATGAACTTCAGAAAATCAATTAAGATAACAAAGATGTGAATATTATAGTGTATCACCATAGATAAAAGCAAATTCTCCAAAGATTTTTGAATTTATTCTCAATAAAAAAAACGAAGTAATTTTTAAATCGTTACTTAGCAATATTTCCTGTTGCTAGATTGTTCAAGCATATTAAGTTAACATTGGAATTTCTTCAACCTAGTTCTTTTTCAATAAACAATCTGATTTGTATTTAAACTAATTTGTACAATAATATGATTATTCAAGTTATCTTTGAGGTAATCATGTTTGGCTGTTTCTTAGCAACATTTGTTTTGCTTGATTCAATATGAATTTTATAATAAAGAATAATGACGACTAAGGTATGTATATTAGAATGTTAGAATACTAAATTCGTACTTCAGATGTAGTAAAAAATAAAAACGCCATTTAA